GAATTTAACTATCAATCTAAATTAACCAAAAATATTAAATTAACATATCCTTTATTGAACCTGTTTAAGAGCCATTTTTGCAAAATAGATCACCCTAAGTGAATTTGATTTAAATTTATAAAAATACTCAATGAGAATTAACCTAGGAACCCCATTTGTATTATTAAAAATTCATAGGCTAAACTGGAATCTATTGTTAAGATTAATGATGTTACTATGTACTCTATGATAGGCATTTCAAGCTTAGCTATTCTTACTGGGAATACAATAATGTTTGTTAACCTCCTAGATTTATTATAATGATTATCGTATTTAAGGTATATGTAATATCGGTTTCCACCTAATTTAATAGAATTTCTGAATAAATATTCTAAAATTTCACTACAACCAATCTTAGATCACTTCAAATTAAATGAATTATTAATGAATATAAATGGAGGAGCTCTTCCCTTTAAAAATAACAAAAGTAAAACATAATAATCTAATGCTTTGAATCAGATATTTTTATTGAATGCAAAAAGTTGTTATTTTTCTGCGATTGCTTCAATTTATTTATATTTTACTTGTTGCTTTCTATCTTCAAATAGATTTAATTAAATGGTCTTTAAGCATTATTAAAAATAATAACAGAATGGAAGATTTCTTAAACTAATAATCTTTTTTTAAAAATAAGTACAATTATCCACTTTCAAGTTCAAGAATTAATATTATTCAATAGGAATTTTTAATGTATATTAAGAAATTCTTCATCAATACTTTTTTAGTTCACTATTATAATTTCCAAATTATAACTTTGATTCACCTTTTTAAATACTCAATAGCCTTAATGCCATTCTAGCTTATTATTTATTTCTATAACAAGCTTACAATTGTTGTCTATTACATCTTCAAAAATTAAAGATAAATAAAGATGGAAATACTTTTTATAAGATTCTAAAATATAATTTTGGGCTGTCAATTATAAACCCTTCTATATTTATAAAACCTTATAATCAATGCTACTCTCCATGCAGTAATTTTATTACCTTATCTACTTGATTAAGTGTAAACCTTTAAAATCACCTTTTGAATAAAGTAAGCTAAAATATAGAGAATTCATGTTTTTGTTAATCACAGGATCATTCTTGATTTATAGTTTTGAGCTTAGCTACGATATATATATGTTTTTTGGATGGTTGCATATTGGTATGATTTCTTTAATGTTAAGTATTAATTTAATTATAGATTTATTTTATTATATCAGAAGGGCTAAAGAACAAAACTTAAGAAAATAACAAAAACTAAAATTGAAAGAACTCCAAAAATATTATGATAATACCCTTCAAAGATTTGTGCTTAGAAGATATAAATCAAGATAGTTAAATTAATATATTATAAATTGTATAATTATGGCAATTTTAATTTAAAAATAATATTTTAATAGATTTGAATTGATCCTATAATAAACTGAAACTTATTCATTAACTCTTTATCTTTAAACTTTATAACCATATTAAAATCTCTTTTATAATATCGATTAATAAGTCAGTAATTCTTAATGAAATTTTTAATATATGTTTAAGTTATTACGTGTTACTTAAATCTCTGGTAAACTAAGCATGGCGATGGAATGGTAATTTTTTAATTTAGATTGAATTAATTTGATTGACTTTTTTTTTTGAACTTATTGACTATTATGTGTTAATTAATTTAATATTTGACATAAAAAGTTGTATAAGATTAATATTGTTAAAGTATTAATTTTAATTTGACTCATATTTCAGCTAAGCGAATAAATGAATTGTAGTGTTTGAGGAATAATAGATGTCAATATTAGGTTGAAATTTTCAAGCAATACCAATTATATTCGTTGAAATGATAGTGAAAACCTGAAAAGGAAGCTGTTCTCTTAATTTTTAGAATTTTTGAGGATATGAACTGATTTAGTTGATAAAATATCTAACAAGTGACTTGAGGGTCTAAGGAAGAAACTCTACCTTTATTTTACTTACCAGTATGATCAACAGCAAAGGATATGAAGAATTACAGATTGATATTTGCGATGGTCACAAGAAAAATAGTCTTCAGAATAATTTCATTTTATTTATTAATAATTTCATTAAGTCCAATTCTATAATAAATGAGGATAAATGATGGGGTTGGATGTTTAATAGATCAAAGACTTTTTACTTCATAATACAAGGATTTGAGAGAAGTTCAAGCAGAAATAGGCGCATAAAGAATAACCTTTAGCATTATGACCTCTTTCATCTATAATTATCATATGAACGATTAATGAGTAGTTATAAAAGTGTTTCAAACAACAATTGATGTTGAGTGAAATAAAATGAAAAGAAGAATACTTTTAAGCAAATTTATCATTCCAGAATGAGTGAACTGATCCTCTTAATAAGGTAATTATGTTTGAGAATTTCCCCTCGTAATGCAATTTAAAGAAAATGAAACTGTTTTAGTCTTATATGATGGAGCTGATCTTAAATAGGATCCTTCCTTAAATATATAGACACCAAGGCTGAGTTTTTATCAGATCTAAAATCATTACAATCTTCCCATTTGCATTTGAGAGCAAATAGCTTCTTGGACAATAAATTTCAATAATTATTAATAATAATTAAATTAATGTTCTACTTTTTCTCCTTAAATACTTTTGGAAGAATCACTTGTTATCAAAAAATTGGCTTTTAATCTATGGGCTAGATTTCCTGAATTTTTCCCTCAATCATCATCTGATTTCCATTCTTCATAAATTTTTTTTGACTTTTTCAAAAGATAAAATCAAAAATTGTAAATCTCTCAAGTCTTTTTAAGTCTGTATTTTAATTAGTATGTTTGGTAGGATGAACTCAAAATTACAGACAGAATTAAGATCTGGCATTTTAGAAGTCAAAATTTAAACAAAACCCTTGGATATCTTCTCCTTTATGTAGATTTACTTAACAATTAAACAAATTCTATTTCTTCATTAAATTAATTATATTCTACAATTATAATTAAAGATTTAATAAAAATAATTCTTTGGCATTTTAAACATTTAGTTTGGCATCAAAGAATTTAAAATTCCTCATGGGCATTTTCGTAATTGTTTGAGACCATCCTGAAGGCTAGTTGCTGCTACCTATTTCTATCCTTTTAAGACACTTTCTATTAACAAGATGAGTAACTTTGATATGGTAAATTTTTTGATGATATTCTGTTCTTTACCGAAACTTTCGTGCTCAAATATACCAATCTAAACTTATTAGAGAACAATTTGAATAACTAATAATACAGGTGAAAGTTTGAACAGTCTATTGAATTAAGTTTAATAGCTATTCTTTTATTAAATTGTATTAAATGGATGCTTAACCTCCTAAATTTAAAGATGAACTTTGATATCAATTATTTATCTTTTTAACAAACTAATTTTCTCAATCAGCTTATTGGAAAGATCCTAATACTTATCAATCAAATCATATCTCAATATAATGTAAAATTTGTAATTTGTAGATAAATCAAAATAGAAGTTAATCTCAACTGATAGAGCATATTTTATTAAGTTAATAATCATAATTATTTTCGTGCCAGATTTCCACTAAAAAAACGGTTAGGATTTTTCCCAACTTTGCTCTTAGCTTTGAAATATTAGATATTGAAGGTGAAAGTATTGCATAGATTTATAAGTGAAAAAAGAAAAGAGTTATATATAGAATAATTTTGACATTAAATTCTTGAAAACTAATCTTAAACTTTATTAATATTTGTATGTTAAT